AGGGGTGTGTAATGACTGAATTGTCCCAGGTTCTATTGACAAATAATCAAGTTGTGTCCCAGCTCCAACGCTTGGGTCTGCTTCCCTACTAATCTTCTGTGCCTCTTGTGCATTTGAAGGTAGATTTCCAGGATTTGAATGCTGAAGATGACTTGGTGCAAACAACTGTCATGGATGAGGGCCAGCCAGCCAGCACACACTACACAGCTATTTGACACACATAACTGAATGATTTCATTTGTATAGTCACCTACTACTCTAGTGAAATGAAGACTACCCTGGGATGGAGGTCATCAGTAAAAACTACCTCAGCACCCTGCACACCACTGGGGTGTGGAGGCAGTTGGCATAAGGCTGCCAAGGCAAGATCTCTGAATATGCCCTGGGAATCTCTAATATTCAACAAGATAGAGAGATCTTTGAGGAAGATTAATATCTAACCTTTAAGTACCACAGTTAAACTTTCACTGCCATATAAGTGCAGTTTTTAGCACTTATGTGGCTTTTAAATTCTCTTTCTGTGTCCTAAATAGGTGTCCAGGTGCATTTGTAACTTCTGGAAATGAAGCAGAGATGGAGCCTTCCTGCCTTTCATCCCAGGAGCATAGTGGTTAGGGCACAAGTCCAGGGGGTGGGAAATCCAGGTTCTAGGCCTTACATAGAAGGGATTTGAACCCGTATCTCCCCCTTCCCAGCAAAGTACTCTAACTACGAGGCAATGGGGAAGGGCTCGCTTAGATGTTGGCCGAGTAGACAGCCAAGAGTGAAAGAGCTATATGTGGACAGGAAGAAGAGAACCAGCTAGAGGGAGTGTAACTCAGTGAGAGGGATATTGGCCCCAGTGCCTTTTCTGCACTTTGCATATACTATCCACTGAACAAACAGCAATGGGATAATTTATACCATATTGGGGTAGGGACCCAGGCCAGAACCTAGGGGCCTTACCTTCCAGCGTAGTCTTCCTGTCACTGAGTTATGCTCCTTGTAGCTTGCTTTCTTCCTCCTGGCCCCACATGATCTACTGAGGTCCCTTCCGACCCTAAAAATCTATGAAATTATGAATATCTTCCCCTCCTTGCTGCCCAGTGTGCCAGTTTCCAGAGGAGCATGCTCAGGGTAATATCTAGTCCATGGCCTGACAGTGAGAGAACTCTTCTAGGAAGTGTGAGATGTGGATTCAGTTCTTCTGGATGGCCGGGGGGGACCTAGAACCTGGGTGTCCCACTCCCATAGACAGTGCCCTAACTACCAATATTAGGCTGGTTGAGGAGGGTCCCCTTTTCTACCTTTCAGCAGTCACTAATTGCAGTTTTTCTCTGATCAAAGTTTTGGGGCCCATACAGTTGTGTGCACCTAGATAATTCTAGTCCCCACTAGAGGTTGTGTAGCCCAGGGGCAGCTTTCTGGGTATGCTCTGAATGGAAACAGGGCAAACATAGGTATGCAAATGAAATCTAAAATCTGTACAAGTGCCAACACTTGCACTTATGCAACTGTATAAGTGTCACTAACATGCACAAAGGTGAAGCAGGGTTTTTGTCCTTGGTTTCTCAAGTCTTACTGAGAAGAGCCTATTATGGCAAATTGCATGGAATCTGATATGCTTCTTGTTGGAAGATGAAGGGCTGAGGCCATCCTGCTGGGAATCCAAACCATTCAGGGTAATCCCAGCCTGATGTTCACTTAGAAAACACCCATTTTTGTACACTAGGAAAACCATTGGGAAAGTTTGGCAGCAGCAGTGTCAAAGGGTCTAGCAGGGTGCTGGACTGGACACAGTGGTGGGGAGGACAGAAGAAAGCAAGAGGTTTTGTTTTGATAGTATTCACATTGCAGGGCCTTGCCCTATAGAAAGAGAAAACTGTCCTGGAGTGGGTGCCACAGAGGCCAGCAGTGGTGACAGTGGGGCTGAAGAATCTCGGTGCTGAGGAAAGGGTAAAGGTAGTGTCTGGAGCTTGCTGGAAAAGAGCTGCTGAGATGTGCTAAGGTAGAAAAGGGGTGGAGATGCTCTATGATACTTGAATGGAAGGGGCTGTGCAACATTTCTGGTGATTATTAACACCCTGATTAAGGCTTGGCTCTCATAGTGCCCTATTACTACTGCCTTTAAAACTCTCTCTCTTCTCTCTAAACTAGATGCCAGCCAGGATACCATGGAGAGAGATGCCATGGCCTTACCCTCCCTGTTGAGAATCCCTCCACCAGTTATGACCACACTACAGCATTGGCTGTTGTGGCAGTGGTGCTGTCATCCATGTGTCTCATTATCATCACTGCACTGCTGATGCTCAGGTGAGAGGAAAGGTGGCTGCAATGCTGTATTAGCAACGTACCCCAAAGCTTAACTTATTCCACCCATGATCTTACCTACCTGGCCCTACCAAGGGTGAACCAGCTCCCAGTATTCCTGGGGAGATGCCTTCTTTACCCCAGCCTTGTCAATCAGTAAAGTAGCTCATATGGGAGGCAGGAGGCCTCCTGATTCAGTAGCTGATGTCATGTGTGGTCTGAGCTAACCTTGCTGCCTAGGTTGTTTTATCATGGAAGGATTTATTCTCCATTCTAGCTGGGCTTCTATGAACCAAATTCAGTAGTAGAGTGTGAGATTAGGGGGATCTGCAGTGATGAGAAGCTGCTGCAGTCTTCCTTCCTGGCAAGGGATGTAGGGCAGCTGGGGCAATGCAGAGTTAGTGTTTACCTGGGAGTTAGTGTAGGCAAGGGAGATAGGACATGCATGGCTTCACTGTATCCCTGATACAATCTGTAGCTTTGGAACCACCACCTAAACATAGATTTGCCTATAGACTTCCCCACTAAAGCCAGCAGGAGCTTCGGACCCGAGTAAGGTGGGGCCTGGCTGCAGTAGTGATCAGCCCTTTGCTGAACATCTGTTTGCTTGATTTGCAGGTGTCACAAAAGGGGTGTTTATGATGTGGAAAATGAAGAGAAAATTAAGTTGGGCATTGCTGTAAACCCTTGATGGCGTTGGAGCCCTGCAAGGTAAGTCTTCAGCACAGGTACAACAGCATGGCATAGGCAGCCTTAGCCTAGCCTTAGCCAGGCCCACATGCAATGGAAGTGGCAGGTAGCTGCTCACAAGAACTTCGCTGGGTGCTGTATGTTTTCCATGCCCCTAAGCCAGCTCTGTACTCCCATGCAGTCTAATAGTGATTTGCACTTCCCTTTGGGACTGGTGGGGAGCACGGTGTTTGAGCACTGCCCAATTATGTTATCTGGGATTGGATAAAAAATAAAGATGAACTCTTTAAATCCTTAGAATTATTTGATGGGATTCAGCCTGTCAACTAGAGAAAAACCATGACTTTGCTTTTAGCACCTCAGCCCTGCCACCCTCCTAAAGTGAACGCATCACTCCACACCCATCTCTGGCTTTCTGGCTAAGCCAGTTCTGAATTCCCCAGATGATTTCTGCTGGACTCCAGTGCTTTGCTCCACCCAACCACACTCAAATCTGTTACTCCTCTATCCCTCCCCTTCCCTGAATAACTCACTTCCCCGCTCGCCTATGCATTGAATCCCCCAGCCAGTTTGTCTGATCTGCCAGTGTCTCATCTCATAACCACCTACTCTCAAGCTTGCCCCTTTTGGTTTTGGCCTTCTTTCTCTGCAGTTGGGGGCTGTTTTTTCACTCATTCTGCTCCAGCTCTTCAGAACTATCTCTTTCCC